GAGACGGGGTTTCACCATGTTGACCAGGATGGTCTCGATCTCTTGACCTCGTGATCCACCCGCCTCGGCCTCCCAAAGTGCTGGGATTACAGGCGTGAGCCACCGTGCCCGGCCTTGCTACCCTTTCTTAAGCAGTTTTTAGAATTCATGTTTATCATCTTACCTGGTTTTATTTCTTTGTATTACTTTTTACTGTCTGTTTTATCCTATTTTAATAAGATAGTTGTTCCGTGTATTACCTGTGTTCCCTCCCACCATCCACTGTACCCATCCTGCAGGGATCCTCCATGGGAGCCCATTTGTCTTCCGGCTCTGGGCTCAGTGTCTGGTTCACAATCTGACATGTAATGACTGAATGTGAAATGAGTGCAGGAATTCAGGGAAGAATTAAGTCATATTAGAAAAAATGGATTCTCCATTTGGAAGAAGACCTCTGATAAGTTTAGAAATAGATATATTGGATTTATTCTTAAGATTCCTGTAGAAAACAAGGCAATCATCTTTTTTTTATAGAGAAAAAATAAAAATGCCAGGCGCGGTGGCTCACGCTTGTAATCCCAGCACATTGGGAGGCCATGGCAGACAGATCACGAGGTGAAGGGATAGAGACCAGCGTGGCCAATGTGGTGAAACCCCGTCTCTACTAAATATACAACAATTAGCCGGGCCTATAGTCCCAGCTACTCAGGAGGCTGAGACAGGCGAGCCACTTAAACCTGGGAGGCGGAGATTGAAATGAGCCGAGATCACGCCACTGCACAGCAGCCTGGCCACAGAGCAAGACTCTGTCTAAAAAAAGAAAATGGGTTAATACTGTTACCTGTGAGTTTAACTACAAAGCTACAGTAATCAAAACAGCATGGTACTGGTACCAAAACAGAGATACAGACCAATGGAATAGAACAGAGGCCTCGGAGGCAACACCACACATCTGCAACCATCCGATCTTTGACAAACCTGACAAAAACAAGCAATGGGGAAAGGATTCCCTGTTTAATAAATGGTGTTGGGAAAACTGGCTAGCCATGTGCAGAAAGCTGAAACTGGACCCCTTCCTGACACCTTATGCTAAAATTAACTCCAGATGGATTAAAGACTTAAACATAAGACCTAACACCATAAAAACCCTAGAAGAAAACGTAGGCAAAACCATTCAGGACATAGGCAGAGACAAGGACTTAATGATCGAAACACCATAAGCATTGGCAACAAAAGCCAAAATAGACAAATGGGACCTAATCAAACTACATAGCTTCTGCACTGCAAAAGAAACAGTTATTAGAGTGAATCAGCAACCAACAGATTGGGAAAAAAATTGTTCAATCTACCCATCTGACAAAGGGCTGATATCCAGAATCTATAAACAACTAAAACAGGGTTACAAGAAAAAAACTAACAAGCCCATTCAAAAGTGGGCGAACGATATGAACAGACACTTTACAAAAGAAGACATATATGAGGCCAGCAAACATAGGAAAAAATGCTCATCATCGCTGGTCATTAGAGAAATGCAAATCACAGCTACATTGAGATACCATCTCATGCTATTTAGAATGGCGATCATTAAAAAATCTGGAGACAACAGATGCTGGAGAGGATGTGGAGAAATAGGAACACTTTTACACTGTTGGTGGGAGTGTAAATTAGTTCAACCATTGTGGAAGACAGTGTGGTGATTCCTCAAGGATCTAGAAATAGAAACTCCATTTGACCCAGCAATCCTATTACTGGTTATATATCCAAAGGATTATTAATCATTCTACTATAAGGACACATGCACACGAATGTTCATTGCAGCACTGTTTACAATAGCAAAGACCTGGAACCAACCCAAATGCCCATCGATGATAGGCTGGACAGGGAAAATGTGGCATATATACCCCATGGAATATTGTGCAGCCATCAAAAATGATGAGTTCGTGTCCTTTGTACGGACATGGATGAATCTGGAAACCATCATTCTCAGCAAACTGACACAAGAACAGAAAACCAAACACCACATGTTCTCACTCATAGGTGGGTGTTGAACAATGAGAACACATGGACACAGGGAGGGGAGCATCACACACTGGGGTCTGTTGAGGGGAAATAGGGGAGGGACAGCGGGGCGTGGAAAGTTGAGCAGAGAGAGCATGGGGAGAAATGCCAGATATAGGTGATGGAAGGCAGCAAATCACACTGCCATGTGTGTACCTATGCAACAATCTTGCATGTTCTTCCCATGTTGCCCCAAACCTAAAATGCAATAAAAAAATAAAATAAAATAAAAATGCTAGCCAGGTACGGTGGCTCATACCCGTCATCCCAGCACTTTGGGAGGCCGAGGCAGGCAGATCTAAGGTCAGGAGTTCGAGACCAGCCTGACCAACATGGTGAAACTCTGTCTATACTAAAAGTGCAAAAATTAGCCGGGCATGGTGGTGTGTGCCTGTAATCGCAGCTACTCAGGAGCCTGAGGCAGGAGAATCACTTGAACCTGGGAGGTGGAGGTTGAAGTAAGCCAAGATTGCACCATTGCACTCCAGCTTGGGCAACAAGAGGAAAAGTTTGTCTCAAAATAAGTAAATAAGTAAAATAAAAATACCAACCTGCTCATGCCTCGCCCCTTAAAAAAAAAAAAAAGGAAGAAAAAGAAAAGAAACTTGCTCTTACACCTTTCTGCTATAGCCGCATCAAGAGAGTTTCCTAGGAGGGTTTCTGAAACTACGAAGATAACCGCTTGAGTTCTGGAGACCACTGTTGCCTTCGGGGTCATCTGGTCCTGGTGACCCCTACATCAAGTGCCAGTTAAGGCTTTAATCCACTATCTGCTTGAGTAGTTGTAGAAACTAAAGAAAAAATTATTTCTTTACTAGGAACCCTTTTCAAATTTCTGTCACCTGTAAGTCACACAGAGCTTTCCCAAATACTGAGCACACCCCAGTAGAGCATGCAGTGTCTAATTTTGGTTGAGTTATGCCAAGTTTGGTCTGCTCCAAGGAGCAACACAAAGAATACATCTTCTTTTTTCTATGTAATAACACTACAAATATATGACTATGTATACAAATATTACACCATATCCCTGTCATTTGTTTTCTTTTCTTCAAACTAAATATTTTCAGACTTTTCTGGTAAACAAATCAGAGTACCTATATTTGTCTTCTGTTTTTTTTCTGTAATTTTCTCTTCTCTCTGAGTTTTCAGAAATCATCAATCACATATGTAGGTTTGTTCCCTAATCTATAATTATTGACAGCTACTACTTATTTTAATACTTATATTTTTAATAATTATTAATCATGATACTTAATTCTTAGCATAGAAAATGCATAGTAAGCTTAACATTTTACTTTGTTTCAGGCATCAGGAAGTGTATTCCATTAAATACTTGGTTTGGTCTTTATGTTATTACTTTGAGGTAAGTATCAACATTGCCTGCAATTTACAGAGGAGGACACATAAAAAAATGTGGGCCCATAATTTGCCTTCATGTTCCCCAGCCTTGAGAAATAAAACTAGATTTAAATCCAGTTTTGTCTGTTCCTCATGCCTGTTCTCTTAACTATTACACTATTTTATCCTCTCCTAGGGTATCCTAGAAAATGCTGATCTCTCTTCCCTATATGCTACAGAGTGTTTCGTAGATCCTCGACACTTGCTCTAACTTAGGGTACAATAATGTCTAGTAGACTCAGAATGTTTCAAGTAACTGCCTGCCCCTTATTTGTGTGCTGGTCGGTAGTTTTGCTAACACATAAACACTCACTTGAGGGGGTGTTTAACTGTAACATTCTCAGAAAGAGGTCAAACTCATGTAAACTTAACACACTAAATTAATAACTAAATTTAAATGAAGTTAAATTAAATTCAGATTATTGAATTAATACAATTTCATAATAACCCTATGACATTTCTTTATTTTAATGGATTTAGATTTCTTCAAAAATTCACATGACACCTGAACCAGTAAGAGTTTTTTTTTTTTCTTCCAATGTCACACTTTAGTAATGTACCCACAGAGAAGTGAGCAACTCCCCACGGTTTCAGTGTTCATACTTTTGGTTTCTCACCATTTGGCAGAAGTAGAAAATTACATTTTTGGAAAACTCAAAGCCATATAGCTACCAACACCTTCATTAATAACTCTTTAGTTTGGAAACGAATCTCCTTATAACTCAAACAAAGCAATACATTCATTCACACAGAGGTATTTCTCATAGCATTTGGTACAATTCTTTTAGTTCTGGCTAGACTTAGAATTGAAGGAAGCTTCTCATACTAGAAAACTGGATTCAGCCGTAAATACTGGGCTCCTTGTGCCATTTCCCCCACATTGGCAGCTGAGTTCCAGTAAAATCCATCCACCAAACTGGAATAGGAAATACTATTCATTTATTCATTTAAATAAGATAGAACTAAAATAGGGTCATTTCTATTTTATTCTATGATCTCATAACCAATAAAACAGGACCAAGCTAAAATAAAATCACTTACCTGACAATAGTAATGCAAAGATTATTTTTCCATACATCCTGAGATCATGAGCTGGCTCCCCAAGTCAGTGCAAAAAAACCACCAAGGACAACTGCAAGTGCTAGTGTCTGGCCTCAGCCTGCTAGCTGTTATCTTCCAGGTCCACCTTCCTGAGGCCATCATCAGCTAATAGGCAGGGGAAGCATTTTAAATGATGCAAAGTTGTTAGGCGCCTGTTAATAAAGATACATGGGTATCTTCTTAACTGGGGCTATGAAAGTGGTAAGTACAATTTTCACCGCAAGGAACGGGCTGCCGTTTGTGATATTAACTTTGCATAAGTAAAGTGGGTATGGCAAGGTGATAGACAAGAGCCACCCACTTGGACAAAGAACCAGACTGCGAAGCTCTGAGCCAGGGCATGTGCCAGGCTGACGTAACTGTTGTGGAGCTATGGACCTTCTCACTTCTATGTCGAGATCCTGTGGTCCAAATGAAAGCGACTTCCGATATGTGAAATGAACATAATTGAGAAATTTAAAGCATTTGAGCTTTCTGAGGTTCTGAAAGACTCCCAAACTCATGGTGAGTCATACAGCAATGTAAGAGACACGAGACGCAAGAAATCCTTCATTGAAAATAGAGTTTGTACGGAATAGCTAGTGCCTGGACAGCTACAAAACCGGTGAGCTGTTTCTCTCCGAGATAAGCGTAAGTAAGCATAAGTGAATACCAAGACAGTAAAGGCAAACAGTCAGAAACTAAACCCAGCAAACCCAAAACCTTATTGTTAAAGGAGGTTAAAGTGCAGGGTATGGAAATCTGAGGAAGCTCAATTTTAAAAGGAGGCAGAACAAAAAATATAAATTAGATCTGAAATGATTCAACAGATGGTGATTAGATACTCCATCTAAATCATCTTAATTCCTATAAGATTTTTGTGAAAGTCTTTCCTGCCTGACCCGGAAAATCAATTTGCTATGTGAACAATTTGCCACATATATCATATTTATATTTTTACCCAAAGTGTGGTTTTAAAAAAAATCTTTTATGAAGCCAATATTTGCAGCTTCAGGAATCTGGGCCACAGAGAAAAAAAAAATATTTAGTGGAGAAAAGATGGAGATAAGTATCAGCAGAGCATCCCAGAGAGGGAGGAGCCTGAGACTGAGGGACTAGGGGATGGAGGGAGCAGAGATGTGGACTTGGGGGAGATGGAAGAATGAATGACACGGAGCAGGTAATCTGAGCAGCAGGACAAGAATCCAGAGCACCTCTTTTTTTTCCCATTTATTTATTTTATTGCATTTTAGTTTTTGGGGTACATGTGAAGAACATGCAAGATTGTTGCATAGGTACACATGTGGCAGTGTGATTTGCTGCCTTCCTCCCCATCACCTACATCTGGCATCTCTCCCCTTGCTATCTCTTCCCAGCTCCCCACCCCCCACCATACCTCCCCTACTTCCCCCCAACAGACCCTAGTGTGTAGTGCTTCCCTCCCTGTGTCCATGTGTTCTCATTGTTCAACGCCCACCTATGAGTGAGAAGATGCGGTGTTTGATCTTCTGCTCTTCTGTCAGTTTGCTGAGAATGATGGTTTCCAGGTTCATCCATGTCCCTACAAAGGACACAAACTCATCGTTTTTGATGGCTGCATAATATTCCATGGTGTATATGTGCCACATTTTCCCTGTCCAGTCTATCATCGATGGGCATTTGGGTTGGTTCCAGGTCTTCGCAATGAACATTCGTGTGCATGTGTCCTTATGGTAGAACGATTTATAAACCTTTGGATATATACCCAGTAATGGGATTGCTGGGTCAAATGGAATTTCTAGTTCTAGGTCCTTGAGGAATCGCCACACTGTCTTCCACAATGGTTGAACTTATTTACACTCCCACCAACAGTGTAAAAGTGTTCCTATTTCTCCACATCCTCTCCAGCATCTGTTGTCTCCAGATTTTTTAGTGATCGCCATTCTAACTGGCATGAGATGGTATCTCAGTGTTGTTTTGATTTGCATTTCTCTGATGACCAGTGATGATGAGCATTTTTTCATATGTTTGTTGGCCTTATGTATGTCTTCCTTTGTAAAGTATCTGTTCATATCCTTTGCCCACTTTTGAATGGGCTTGTTTGTTTTTTTCTTGTAAATCTGTTTTAGTTCTTTGTAAATTCTGGATATCAGCCCTTTGTCAGATGGGTAAACTGCAAAAATTTTTTCCCATTCTGTTGGTTGCCGATTCACTCTAATGACTGTTTCTTTTGCTGTGCAGAAGCTGTGGAGTTTGATTAGGTCCCATTTGTCTACTTTGGCTTTTGTTGCCAATGCTTTTGGTGTTTTGGTCATGAAGTCCTTGCCTACACCTATGTCCTGAATGGTTTTGCCTAGATTTTCTTCTAGGGTTTTTATGGTGTTAGGTCTTATGTTTAAGTCTTTAATCCATCTGGAGTTAATTTTAGTGTAAGGTGTCAGGAAGGGGTCCAGTTTCTGCTTTCCGCACATGGCTAGCCAGTTTTCCCAACACCATTTATTAAACAGGGAATCCTTTCCCCATTGCTTGTTTTTGTCTGGTTTGTCAAAGATCAGATGGTTGTAGATATGTTGTGTTGCCTCCAAGACCTCTGTTCTATTCCATTGGTCTATATCTCTGTTTTGGTACCAGTACCATGCTGTTTGGATTACTGTAGCCTTGTAGTATAGTTTGAAGTCCGGTAGTGTATAGGGAAGTGCCTCCCGCTTTGTTCTTTTTGCTTAGAATTGACTTGGCTATGCAGGCTCTCTTTTGGTTCCATATGAAGTTTAAGGTGGTTTTTTCCAGTTCTGTGAAGAAGGTCATTGGTAGCTTGATGGGGATAGCATTGAATCTGTAAATTACTTTGGGCAGTATGGCCATTTTCATGATATTGATTCTTCCTAACTATGAACATGGAATGTTTCTCCATCTGTTTGTGCCCTCTCTTATTTCGTTGAGCAGTGGCTTGTAGTTCTCCTTGAAGAGGTCCTTTACGTTCCTTGTTAGTTGTATTCCTAGGTATTTTATTCTCTTTGTGGCAATTGTGAATGGAAGTTTTTTCTTGATTTGGCTCTCTTTAAGTCTGTTATTGGTGTATAGGAATGCATGTGATTTTTGCACATTGATTTTGCATCCTGAGACTTTGCTGAAGTTGCTTATCAGTTTCAGGAGATTTGGGGCTGAGACGATGAGGTCTTCTAGATATACAATCATGCGCCTCTTAAGGCTCTGCCAATTCATGAAAAACAACTGCAGTGAAATTTATAAAAAACTTAAAATTAAACAATATGTAATCAATCAATACTTTCCATAAATTCAGCGTTTGTTATGGCTGGATATCAGGTTGTGTTGCAGGAACTGTGCTCAAGAGTCAGCCCCATAAAGGAAATGTTGATATTTATATAAGCAGTAAGAATTATTTCACATGATTTTGTATTGACGAAGGGAGAGCAATTAGCATGAGTCTTAAAAATGCTATTTCTGAAAATGGGTAAATAAATGTTTACTTTTACAATGGACTATTAGAGCAACAATTAAAATCATATTTTCAAAAACAGTTAAAGTTATGGAGACTCAGGATAAAAGGGATAAGTGGAAAACAGCAAGATCTCAAAACTGTGTATATGCAAATACAATTTTACCTGATTCTTTTTTCCTCTGGACTGTGCTGCCTTCACCTGGAATACACCTACTCCTTTTTTAGGTGGCCTCCAGTTCTGCTTAGGGTCTCAATTGACTAGTACTTCCTCCACGAAGCCTTCCCTGACTTACTGTCTTGGTCAGGTTCCCCTGCTCTATACACATATGGTGCCATCTTCTCTCCTTATCACAGGACTTATTACACTTCATTGCAATCATTGTGTTTCCACTGAATTACAGTTTTTAAGTGGGCACACCCTGACTATGGCTATCTTATTTACCAATGAGCGCTTGGGGCACACTTGACAATAAATGTTTCTCAAATCAATACATGACAAATGAATATTGCAGTGCAGAGGAAAGCAACTTCTCACGGGCAGTCCTGGTGTGTATGGGCTGATCATTTTTTAAATATACTTTGGGTAACCTGTGTCATATCTTAGTTTCAGGTTCCCTCCAGTATGGAGGTCCCTTGCTAAGGCAGGAAGGGGAAAGGAAAAGGAAACAGCCTAAAATTCAGCTTTCATACCTTCTTCAGCCTCGACTGGTCACAGTCTGAGAGTGCTTTCTCTTCCACGACTCCCCACTTTCCTCGTCTGCAGAATCGCATTGTTAACAATTCTCTAAACTCCTAGAGTGCTGACACAGGCCTGTTTATTAACACCTGTCTCCGGTTGTTCTGAACGATCCTTTCCTTTGTATTGGTGGGTCCTGTCTCTGTTGTTCTGTTTCCAGCAACTGGCACAATGCCCTACAGAGGCTGGGGGGCAGTAAACTCCAGCCATCAGGGCTGGGGACTAGGTGACATAGGTAGCCACAGGAAAGCAATGGATGCTTTGCTCTCGGTCACCTGAGGACCAATCCGCTTTTAGTAACCTGGGGAATGGGAACTAGCCTTGGGATAAGAACAGGTTTGCAGCTTTCTTCAGGCAGATGGGTTGTCACTATCTGACCCTATTAAAGTAAGGCAAAACCTGGAGGGTCCTCAGTGGGGAAATTAGAGATCAGATTCAGCTCTCTTACAGGGTTTGAGGAAGCAGAGCTATACAGTGCCCTCTAGTGGCTTGTCTGCACAATGAAAGGAAAAATGTGAGCCCTGAAAATGCAACAGAAAAAAATAAACATTATGTTTTTCTCTTTCAGGCATTCCCTAATGGTCTTTAAATTTTTAAAAAATATTTTTACTGAAATGCACATTCAGGATTATCATAAAATTCTACATATGGGCTATATCATACAAATTATTAGACAAATCCACATCTTTTTAGAATTTTGATTCTTTGAGTAAAATAAAACAAGTCCTTTTGAAACATTTGATCAAACATAGAAATTTATCCAATTTTCTTGGTACTATATGTCTTTGGGCTATTTTTTTTTCTTTTTTCTTTTTAATTGCCTGAATCGTTTCTATGACGTGGTTAAGAAGGATGAAGTTCAATGTTATAATCTAGGAAAGTCAACTTGGGTTGAACAACACAAACCTTGCTTGTTTACTTGCAACAATTCTCTGTCATAAAGCATGATGTTTCATGACAGAGAACCATTTACTTGTTTCATGACAGAAAACCATTCATTTTTGCCAATGACTTATCTCTCAATCATTTCAGGCTCAGATGATTCCTGAAGATGGTTGCATGCTAGTCTGATGTGCCAGTGGAGAAGTCTGCTTTTCATGTTTTGAAT